AAATTATCAATTATCAATTAAGATCTGCAAATGAGTAATGCGTAATGACAAGGATCTCTCTTGAAAATACAACGATTGAAAGATTTTTTTTTCTGCTTTTCAATTCATTTTTTGAGAAATCTCCTCAACATCAAAGAACAGATTCATTCTTCCAGATTAGCTGATGAACTCGTTCAGCTTCGTTGGAAGTTTAGTTCTATAGTATTTTTAGTTTTACAATCAAGGAGATGTAAATGACCTTCTTGTTATTTCTTGGCGTGAATGTCGCTCGGAAAAAAACAGAAAGAACGAATTTCTCAGCATCGAACCTTTTCAACATTTACACACACGAAACGAGCTTCCAAATGCTTCGGTGCAAGTTTGCTGAGATGCATATCGACTATTTTACAACGTTCTGTTGAGGTTCGATAGAAGTGTGCAATTAATTTATTAGATTTTTTTGTTGCATCAAAGAAGGCACGTTCATCTGGTAACTCTTCATATTCTCCATGCCCATTTCGTAGCCACTCCTTTGAAAAATTGAGCTTCGTTTAAGGAAGGTTCATAAAAATCGTTGTCTACATCGAGCAGAATTGAATATCATCAATGTAAATTCCAGCTAACTTCAAAAAAATTGTTGCAAATTTCAAAGAGACTGGAAAAAATATTAGGAATTCCATGTATCTCTTCTGTGAACAATTCAGGTGTATCGTTTAATTTCGGGCGATTTCATGATTAGCCTCGACTGTGAGGAAAAATGCCCCTGGCTGGGTATATTATGGCACCTGTTTTTCGAGTTGCCTCTTTTTCAGTTGTTCCACTCGTTTCCGACGTAACGCCTCGAGGTCACCCTCTCCTAAGTGTTCCATTTCTTCCATTTCTTGGTCCACCGCCTTCTCCACCACGGTGACGGCTTTCAGTAGCTGGTCACCCAAAGCCTGTTGTCCAGCAGCCATTTTCTTTTGATGATTGATCGCTTACGATTTGTATTTTTCAACTTAAACAGCAAAATGAAAACAATTTGAAGTTGATTCTGTGGTGGATTACCAGTTACGATTGATAATTCTCAGGGGATCATAGTGATGGAATCACGAGTATATCTCAGGTTGAACAGAGAGAATATGTAATGATTTGTAAGTTACTGAGAAGATTTTTTGAAGAATTTGTCCACATTAATAATACTTCTGATAATAATAAGGGAAATAACATAAATTCGATCGGATCGAGAAGTTCTTCGACCCAAGATCTCCAAAAAAAATCTGCAAGAGATTCTGCAGTCTTGATCCCAGAATTAGATACTCCTTCATGCGCATATAAGAGGAGCATAATTATTGGATTGTGCAACAATGCACAATATCTGCTAAAAAAATCGGAAGCAAATCGTCCATGAGAGCACGCACCAATATCTATCGACTGTGTCCACGTACTTGGCGAAATGACCGCAACTTGTCGAAGAGCAAGCAATTCCTTTCAAATTTACATTTTGCTCATCTTTAAGCTTATTTTGCTTACTTTACATGATCTTGTTCGTAGAAGGTTTGTTGCTTACAAAATAGGATTATCCAGATTTACAGTGGTCTTGTTCGTAGAAGGTTTATTGCTTATAAAGTAGGATTGTCCAGATTTACAGTTCAAACGTTGAACTATTATTATTTCATTTAAAATTATGTACATCTCACAAATCATCGCTAGCGATTTGTTCATCACAAATTGTGTTGCGTTTTCGTCTGTTCAGTTGGAAATTTTCAGGAAATACTAAAGCGTTTAACACCTTCACAACCTTC